GAGAAACGGCGTTTTGGGGTGCAGAAAGGCCATTTCAAAAAAAAAAAAGGGGATTTTGGGGATAAAGGGGGGAAAAACAAAAAAAAAGGGATTTCGGGGAGATCTGGGGGTGGAAAAATGACAAAAAAAGGGATTTCGGGGAGATCTGGGGAAAAAAAAACAAAAAAAAAAACGGATTTCGGGGAGATCTGGGGGGAAAAATGACCAAAAAAGGGATTTCGGGGAGATCTGGGGAGGAAAACAACAAAAAAGGGATTTCGGGAATATCTGGGGAATAAAAAAAGGGATTTGGGGAATGCCGGGAATTCCGGGAATTAAAAAAAGGGATTTGGGGAATGCCGGGAATTCGGGGAATAAAAAAGGGGATTTGGGGAATGCCGGGAATTCGGGAATATCTGGGGAATAAAAAAAAAGGATTTTGGGGAATGCCGGGATTTCAGGGAATTAAAAAAAGGGATTTGGGGAATGCCGGGATTTCAGGGAATAAAAAAAGGGATTTTGGGGAATGCCGGGATTTCGGGGAATAAGAAAAGGATTTTGGGGAATGCCGGGATTTCGGAGAATAAAAAGAGGGATTTGGGGAATGCCGGGATTTCGGGGAATAAAAAAAGGGGATTTGGGGAATGCCGGGAATTCGGGGAATAAAAAGAGGGATTTGGGGAATGCCGGGATTTCGGGGAATAAAAAAAGGGGATTTGGGGAATGCCGGGAATTCGGGGAATAAAACAAGGATTTTGGGGAATGCCGGGATTTCGGAGAATAAAAAAAGGGATTTGGGGAATGCCGGGATTTCGGGAATATCTGGGGAATAAAAGAAGGGATTTTGGGGAATAAAACAAGGATTTTGGGGAATAAAACAAGGATTTTGGGGAATGCCGGGAGCGGCGGGCGGGGCCGCGGCACGCACAGAGCACCGCCAGCCGCGCGTCCGCGTCCTTTGTCAGCACGGTGTCACCGACCGCCAGGCTGGCCCGGCACCGGAATTCCCGTCCGTCGTCGTCGCGCCGAGCCGGTAACCGGAGCTGCAGCCGCGGCGGCGGCCCCTCGGCCAGGACGCCGCCGTTCGCATCGCGGAGCTGCAGCCGCGCCGCCGGCGGCTCGGTGGCACCGGAGCGGCACGTCACCGTCACCTCGCCGCCCGCCGCCACCGGGGCCGGGCTCAGCTGCAGGGTGGGCACCGGGAATCCTGCGGGAGGGTGCCACGGGTGGGTCCGAGGGGGTTTGGAGCTCCCGCGGTCCTCCCGCCACCCCTCCCGGTGCCTCACGGTAAACGTGGAGCTGCCTCCGCGCCGTCCGTGCCGCCGTGGCCACCGCGGCCGTGCAGCTGAGCTCCCGCGGGCCCGGGCTGCGCGGGGACAGCTCGGTGCTGGCCGTCACCGTGTCGCCGGCCACCGCCGCCGTGACGTTCAGCGGCTCCCGGTCCAGCGCGGCCGTGACACGGACGTCGCCGGCCGGGAAGGCGCCGGTGATGCGGCAGCTGGCGGCGGTCACGGTGCCGGCCTCGAGGACGGCGGGGACCCGGAGCTGCGGCGGCTCCGGGAGAGCTGCGGGGACACCGGGAGGGGACGCGGGGTCACCGGGGCCGTGGCGCATCCCCGGAGGCGGGGACGGGATCCCGGTGAGCGCGGCGTGGCCGGGAGGGCGACAACGAGGTGACGGCGGGTGGGGACGGCGCCGCCACTCACCGAACACCGAGAGCGTGACCGGGACGGCGGCGCGGGCGAAGAGGGGCCCGTGCGGCCGCAGGGAGAGCTCGGCGTGGCAGGTGACGTGCTGGCCGTGGTCCCCGCGGGTGACGGTCAGCGGGTGGCTCACGGCCACGCTGGCGCTGCCCTCGGCGTCGCCGAAGCTCTCGGTGCGCAGCGTCTCGGTGCCGCGGCGGAGCGTCACCGTCAGGTTCCGCAGCGGAGCCACCTCCCGCACGCGGCACGTCACGTTCCGGCTGTCCCCCACCGCCACCGGGGGCACCGGCTCCAGCTCCCCCCCCCCCGGCAGCTCTGGGGACCGAGCCGGTGTCACCCCCGGTGTCATCCCCGGTATCCCCCCCGGTACCGGCTCCGG